ATAGATACGCTGTCTGCAAAGACTGTATCTACTCTCACAGGCCCAAAGTAACCAAAGTAATCAATGCCATTTCTAGTTAAATCAAAGGACTTAAGAACTTTCCGAAGGATTCCCAGGGCAATGCCACAGTGGCCAGTCCCTACATACGCAGGAAGCAGCACCAGCAGATGCAAATCTATTACGATGATGGCATGCCCCAAAACCAGGTGCAAACATACAGTGGCGCTCAGTTCCGAGGAAGTACCCCCACCCCAGCACACTAACAGTAAGGGCTTGCACAGCTGTTCACATGGAGCACAAAACTTGGTTAATTTCCTCCAAGAACAAAACAAAACAAAAAGGAAGCTGTTCTTTCCATGTTTCCTTCCACTGACAGTCCCCACACCTAAGCACAGTGAGCAAAATCAACTTCCTGTAAAGTGTCCCACACAAAGACACAGGCAAGCCAACCCTTGCTGAGTCTGTTAGAACTACAGCTGGGCTCATGGCTACCTCTTACTCTCACAGTAGCAGTCCCCAAGTTAGATAGATGGACACAAAAACTATGGAAAAATAACCTCAAATCTAAAGCTGAATTTTTTTTCCCTTTCCAGACAGGGTTTCTCTGTGTAACAGTCCTAGCTGTCCTGGACTTTGTAGACCAGGCTGGCCTTGAACTCAGAGATCTTCCTGCCTCTGCCTCCCAAGTGCTGGGAATAAAGGTATGTGCCATCATTACTACCTGGCCAAGGCTGAAATTTCTTTAAAGCACTCATTTATTATGTGTGCGAGTATATGTGGGTAGTTAAGTGTGCACTATGGTGCACATGTAGAGGTCAGAGGTCAACTACAAGTGTCAGTCCTCTCCTTTCACCATGTGGTTCCTGAGATTGAACTCAAGTCCTGCTTGAGGCAAGCATCTTCACCCAGTGCACTATCTCACTGGCTCATTTCTAGGATTATTTATCACAACAAATTTAACATGCTTAAGGATATAAACTATCATCCAGAGTGAAGTATTCAAAATGGATTGTGCTGAAGTCACCATTCAGATGAAGGTACCTCTTTGAAATCTACCATGAAGTCATCAAGTACAGCATTGCCACCTAGAAACAACTTAGGCTGTCACTTAAAAACTTCACATAGGGCTGAGATGTGGCTCTGTTGGTTTGCTAGCACAAACCCCACCACCACTGCAAAAACAAAAACAAAAACAAAGAAAACCCCCAAAACCACCAGATGTGGTGGCACATGCCTATAATCCTAACTAACTAGCATCTTGGGAAATAGAGACAGAAGGATCAGGAGTTCAAAGTAATACTCTGCTATATAGAGCTAGAGATATATGGGATACATGACATGCTGTCTCAAAAGAAAAAAAAGCAAAAAGTCTCACCTTAGCTCATCACTCTTACTACTGCAAAGAAAGAAAAACCAAATGCATTTGGAAATTACTAGAAATGCATGTGTTGGATTACTAACATGTAGTTTCCAATGTCTGTAAAGAACTCGGAGGTCATTAGCACTAACCAATGTTCCATCTGAATGATACACAATGTAGGCTTGTAGGAAATGCAGAAAACCTGAATTCTTTAGTCAGTGAGAAATTTTTAATTGATATAGACCCTAATTTACTAGATTCATAAAATAAAGGAGTCAGACGGAGATGTATCTAGGTTCTATTCAATGTTACCCTCTCCAGAGCTCGGCTGTCGGCACAGTAGATGTTCCCTGGCTACCGGTACAACCGTACCTTCATGGGAGCCATTCCCTCCAAGACCTGATCAGTTTCATCCCTCTAGTCAGGTGTCTCTGGGTCTACTCTCTGCGTACCAAATTCACCTCCCCACAAGGGACTCGGTCAGGTCATTAAGGTGCAGCACATTCAGCAATGCCTGGTACACACAGACAGCTTTCCTGTGGATCAGTGAAGCATTCTAATACACAGGGAAAATCTGAAACCCTAGATGCTATTTCAAAATACTAGTTTCAAGCCAGGCGATGGGGGCATAAGCCTTTAATCCCAGCACTTGAGAGGCAGAGGCAAGCAAATCTCTGAGTTGGAGGCCAGCCTGGTCTACAGACCAACTTCCAGGACAGCCAGGGTCATACAGAGAAACCCTGTCTCAAAAAAACAAAAACAAATAAAAAAATACAACTTTCAACAAGTTTAAGGTGTAGATCTTACTAGTAACACTTATAGAAATTGTGCTAATACACAAAAAACTACTGAGAATAAATCTGGCTCTACTCCTTGCAGGATAACCTTGCTTAGCTTTCTTGGCCTCCGTTTCTCTTGGGTAAAATGGCAATAAACACTACTTAGTCCAGTGTCAACCAAAGGTACACAATGTTTTGTATTATATAACAGGAATAGGGAAGAGAATTGGGAAAAGGTTTTGTTCAGTATTTCCTCCCATACTTATAAATTAAAAATAGGGCCACATTAAAAAGAACATTTTTTTCTTCTCTTTTGAGAATAAAATTTTCAGGTTTGATGACTCAGGAAGCTGAGGCAGGAGGATTGTCACAAACTCAAGTAAGTCTGAGTTACATATTGAGTTCCAGGCCAGGCTAGCTCAAATTAGTCTCAAACAAAACAAAGCAGAAAAAGAAACAAAAAGCAAAAACAAATAATATACCAGATGGTTTCTTCTCTTTTGAAAGAGCAAGATTATTTTCTTAGGACTAAAGATGGCTCAGTGGTTAAGACCAACATTTGGTTCCTATCGATCACAACCACCTATAACTCCAGCTTCAGGCGATCTGATGCCCCCTTCTGGCCTCTGTTAATGCCCACACCTACCACGCCCCAACAAAGACAAGAGTAAATTTTTTAATATTATTTTTTTCATGGGGGTGAAAAGGATCATAAACATTGTGCTATTTTCGGTAAGAAACAAAAAATTTACCAGAAGACAAAGGCTGGGAAACATGTAAACCCAGGGCAGAGACACATAGGGTGCTTGTAGGTCTGGGGGTTCAGGCTGTTCCCTGGGACAAAAGGCAGGCCAGCTACTGCACATAGACAACTCCAGCCTATGGGATCTCACTGGAGTCATTTGTACCTTCCACCACTGGGGGCACTGCAGTAAGGGAACAAGTATGAGAAAGGCTCATCAGCGGCATCACTTCAGCAACTTGCACCTGAGAACTACTCTGATCGACGGTACATTGCTCTTTGCCCCAAGTCTAGAGTCTTGTTTGATGTGGCAGGCAAGTGACCATGGTAAGATCAAAGTGAGGCCAGACCTACATAATTTGGGAGACCTGATCAGTTCTGGGTACCCTAAAAGAAGTCCATGTGTTAGTAGTATTGAAGCAGGCTGTGGCATGCTTAGTTGCCTATCCTAAATTTGTTCCCAGTCTAGGACAGGTGCCTAAGGAAGGCTTCATAGAGTCCAATTTCCATATAATTGTACAGGATTGGGAGAAATCGATTGAGGCATTTCCTACCAACAACCACTTGGAGGTTAAGACAAAACCTGTCTGCAAAGTTGAGCATGGTAACTCACACTTGTAATCCCAGAACTTGGGAGGATAAAGCAGAATCATGGTAAACGTAAAGTTCAAAGCCAGGTTTTGTCTTGACACTTTCTCAAAACAAAAAGACGCAAAGCAACGACTGCCTGCAACAGTATTCTCTGCTTTTCCTTCTACAGGTGAGACCTTGGAGCCAGCATTTCATCATGCCTCCGTTTTCCTTTCTGAGATAAGGAGCCAACAGGGTGGCTACTGCTTTTATGGCAAATTAATCCGCCCAACTAACAAGGCTAAATGGGGAAAATAAAACCTCACATTCAAGCAAACAGTCTTCCATTTACAGACAAATTCACAGAGAGGTAACTCCTTTGCTCAGATTCATGAGGTGACATTAATAAAATCAGCCAGGCTGTTGGCAGTCAAGGATGGCCACAAAATAAGTCACACAAGTAATTGAGACCTTATCGAAGAAGCCAGATGGTGCTCAAAGAAAATCAGACTAGGCTTACCTTGGGATTTCATCTCAACTAAGAAATGAGATAGTGTCTGGGCAGACATACGGTGCTGAACATCAGTGGAGTGTCTTAAAAGCCAGCTGCTAGCATGTCTGGAAGACCCAGGCCTTTCCGAAGACAAGTCGTAGGTTAACCCACAGAGGGGAAGGGATAGTGGAGAGGGTACTGGTGGGTAAAAGATGCCCACTTACAGCTCAAGACGGAAAAAGAGTGTGTGTATTTTGCCCAGAGGTGTCTTCCATGACTTATTCTACAGGTCTACAGCGTCTCACTTCAATGAATGAACCTGAGCGGCTGGAAAGCACGCAGGATCCAGGCCTGAAGCTCTATCCTCGGGGGTACATATAAGGGGCAAGGGTCAGTGCTGATGTCATCCCGGGGACCCAACTGGCTTGCATCTGTCGGGGTTGGATTACTAGAGTGAGGACTGAGCCCAAGACACCCGGGCAGGCAGAAAGGAAGTCGGACTTCCTGCCCCACGCCAGCAGACACCCTCCAGGCGGGTCCACGTCCCCACCGCCCTGCCCGTCCCCGCTGTCTCCACCTCCCAGGTGCCTCCACGCTGGGCTGGGGCGGCGGGCAGCCCGGCCCACTCACCGCACTCCGGGTACTGGTCCGCCCAGTCCCCCGACTGCGAGCAGCCGCCGCCCGCCGAGGCCTCCTGCTGCTGCCTGTGCTGAAGCTCCTGCTTCAGCAAGGACAGCGGAGAGTAGTGCTCTGTGGCCCGCGCGCAGGCCAGCGCCCCCAGCAGCAGCAGCAGCGACAGCACCGCCCCGGCGCCCGAGCCTCCCCAGCAGCCGCAGCCGCGGCCGGCAGGTGCCATCTTCCTGCACGGCGCAGGCGCGGCCGTGCTCTGCCCGCCGCGGGCAGGTGGGCGCGGCACCCGGCCGCAGTACCCCCCGGGAGTCGTAGTCCGTGTCCTCTCAACCTCAAGCTCGCATCCAGCATCCGGACTCCAACTCCCAGTAAGCCCCTTGGCGTGCCTTTCCCCGTGGTGCAGGCAACTTCCGCCACAGACCGGAAGTAGAGGCTCTAGGGTGGCCATGGGGACTGGCGGGCTTAGGGCGACGCGGTCCGGGAAGGGCGCCGAGGGCACGGCGACGGTTGCCTCTCCTTGTCTGTACCGCTGTATCGAGTGCAACCGGGAGGCCCAGGAGCTGTACCGAGACTACAGCCACGGCGTACTCAAGATAACTATCTGCGTGAGCGCTCCGGGGGCGGGGCGGAAGGCGGACCCGAACGCCCCGCGGTTGGGGGCGAGGCAGGGCTCTTGAGCACTTAGAGGAGGAGTGGTTCTTATGATGGTGGCAAAGAGAAAGCAAGTTCATGAGGACTTTAGCTAGGCTACTGATTTTCTAAGAGTTACGACACTCAGGAGTGCTGGCGCATTTATGTGACTTCAGCACTCCACTCGTATGCCAGGCAATTGGTAGATCACGAATTCGACGCCAGCCTTGGTCATCTAGAGAGACCCTGTCTCAAACGAATGAACGCGTGGTGGAGAGTGATGCGATTCACTAGGGAAGTAGGATCACTGACATTGTACCTGACATTCATTCAGTTGTAGCTCTCAGAAGCTGGGAGATGGGAACTTTGTTGAACACCTTCCTCCAAATCCTGAGCCATAGTCTTTACCACAGCCAAAGTGTGTTAGAGATTTGCATTTTTAAAAAATCATACAAACCGAAAATGGAGTTTAAAGTAGGACCTTCTGAAGTACTCTTGTGCCTGCTGTGGGTCTTCAAATCAAAGTCTTTTTTTCTGCTTTGTTTTGGTTTTTGAGGCAGGATCTCTCTATTCAGTGTATGCTGACCTCAAATTCAGGATCCTCCTCCCACCTGTGTCTTAAATGCTGGCATATAGTTATGTGTTACCACACCTGGCTTTCTTTTTGGATTCTTGAATATAAATTTAAAGTATTAGTATTTCTAACTAGAAGCTAGTATTTAGTCATTGCAAAACTTCTTATGTGGGTGAACATTTTTAATCTGAGAATTTCAAATAGATGCTTATACATCTTGTCACTGGGAAAGTCTGGAACAGACTCCAATTTTCAAGTCCTCTAAAGTTTCAGAATGTATTAATTTGTTTGCTCTAATATTACTTTGTTGGGTTTTTTTTCCAGAAATCTTGCCAGAAACCAGTAGACAAATATATTGAGTATGATCCTGTTATTATCTTGATTAATGCCATTTTATGCAAAGCCCAGGCCTATAGGCATATTCTTTTCAACACTAAAATAAATGTAAGTTGAGGCAGTTTAATTTTTTTTTAATTCTGTGTGTATGTTGAAGGAAAAAGGATATGTGTGCTTGATTGCAGGTCCCTGTGAAGCCAGGCTGGACTTACAGGCGGTTGTGTGCCTCACAACCCTGTCCTATGTGAAAGCAGTACACCCTCTTAACTGCCAAGCCCTCTCTCAACCCTGTTTTCCAAAATTCTAATGCTACTTGATGCTTTTGCTCTTAATTTTTAATTCAAGCAGAATTAAAGAATATATGATAATTCTAACTGGGGGATTTTTTTTCACTCATCATGTCTGGAAGTTTTCTAGAAGTAATAGATACAAATTTAAAAGACTGCGCAGTGCTTAGTGACTATGTTCGAGAATGTGGTCACAACAAAAAGCAGATAACTGTAATCTGAATTGCCGCTCAAATGTTGACTTTGAGCAGAATAAAACTAAACATGTCTGGGTAGGGGCATAGTTAGTTATACCTCACTGCTGGGACCTAATGCGTGAGATGCAGCAGCTTCGGTTGGGCTTACAGGTTGAGTCCATTGTGATGGGGAAGGCATGTCAGTGAAAGGATGGGGCTGCTTAGTACAACGGGAAACGGGGGAAGGGAATGCCAGGGCTTAGCTGGCTTTCTGTTTTCACATCTTTCCAGGCCAGGGGCCCAGCCAGTGGAATAGTGCTGCCCACATTCAGTTTCCCCTCCTAGTTAGTCCTGTTTGCAAACACCCGTAAGACAAATTGGAAGTGTACCTTATTATTGCCCTACGTGTTTTTTAATCTAATCATTTTGACAATTGAGCACACAAATTAGGAGACAATTATACCTAAATTTAGGAAATAAACATTAAAAGAAAACTTGTTTAAAATTTATTTATTTATTTTATGTACATTGGTGTGAAGGTGTCAGATCCCTATAACTGGAGTTATAGACCAGAAGATGATTGTGAGCCACCATGTGGTTGCTGGGAATTGAACTCAGGACCTCTGGAAGACTAGCCAGTGCTCTTAACCACTGAGCCATTTCTCCAGCCCAATCAAGGCCTTTTAAGTGACCAAAGCGTCCATTTTCAAGCTTGCTTACCCATTGAAAATTTCCTGGGTGGAGTGTAAAAGACCTCTATATGACAGCTCAGTTAGCATTTTTGTGGATGGTATACACCTCTTCCCCAGATGCTTCCAGAGTGCAGCTAAAGGACTTGTGCTAGCTGAGGAGCCTCAGAATCAGACTGGATCAGGTCAGGTCAGGGTCACACACCTGCTTTCTTGTGCCCACTGTAAATTACTGGAGAAATCTCAGTTTGCAGGAAAGATAGTCAGATTGGGGAAATGCCAATTCTTACCACTTAGTGTTTTGTATTTTGATAAAAATTTAAGGCTCTTAAGAGCATCCATCTTGCCAGGCGATGGTGGCGCACGCCTTTAATCCCAGCACTCGGGAGGCAGAGGCAGGCGGATCTCTGTGAGTTCGAGGCTGGACTGGACTGACAGCCTCCAAAACAATACAGAGAAACCCTGTCTCATAAAAACCAAAAAAAAAAAAAAAAGAGCATCCATCTTATTTTTTTTTGGGGGGGGGTTTGGTTTGGTTTTTTTTTTCCTCTTTCATTGGCCTAATACTCATTCAGCCAGGGGCTTTTTTTTTCTTAATTCCTTTTCAAACTAATAGTTTATGTGGTGTCCTGAAATCTTTAAGTTAACTGGGCATGGTGGTGCACACCTTTAATTCCAACAGAGGCAGGTGGATTCGAGGTCAGCCTGGTCTATAGAGTGTTTTAAGACAGCCATGGCTACACAGAGGAAACCCTTTAGATTAAATTCATTCTCTTCTGACTTTTTCCACTCTTGTCGGTCACATCAATGTGTTTGGCTATGTGTGGATGAGAGATAAACTGTTAGGAGCAATGGTTCCTAGCCAGGGATGCACATTAGGGTCTCTCCAGGAATTTTGCAAAATACACCTGTCCAGGTTTCACTCCTGAAAAACTGACTCCAGACTGAGTCCTCTGGTGTTCCAAGTTTGAAATTCCCAATGGGGTTCCAATAGACACTGCTGGCTTATATAACTAATGCAGTTAACCAGTTAATAATGTTGGAAGATCCACGTGGGGCATTTTCAGTACAACTACTGAGCAGAATGTGGTGCGTGTTTATAGCCTTAGTACTTGGAAGGCTGAGGCAGGAGGGCTATCTCAAGTTTTAGACCAGCCTTGGCTATGTAGCAAGACCTTATCTCAAAAAACAGAATAGACCCTACATCTGCTTAGCTGCACTGTGCCTGTTGGTGTGCAGTCAGCTGAATGTTACCTGACCAAGGACACTGTCTTTGACTGTCAGATCCATGGGAAACTCTGCATGTTTTGTTTGCTTTGTGAAGCATACCTGAGGTGGTGGCAGCTGCAAGACTCAAGCCAGAACACAGCCCCAGATGACTTGATCCGATATGCCAAGGAGTGGGATTTCTACAGGATGTTTGTGATTGCTGCTTTCGGTAAGCAGATGCTAACTAGCAGCTTGCTGCTCTGATTAAAGCTAAGACACTGGTAAGACAGTTAATACAGGACTGGAGACCACATCTTCAGCTCTGACACTAACCTGCCTGGGGAGTTTGTCTGAATCACCTTCTTGCTTTGTCTTAAATATATGGTAGAAAAATAATAATAGTGTATTTATCAGACTAGGATATTTTGTAAAATAAACTGTTCTTAAGTTCTTATTGTACACCTTGAAGGTTGTGTCAGTCCTCTTGTTTAAAACACATTAATTATTGCCTGATATTTCCCAGTTTATTAGGCTGCTTAATGCAATTGTCTGACATTAAGTTTACTTCTGGTGGGAATGCGCCTTTCATTGACATTGAAATCCACGGCTTTCTAGGGTTCGAATTGCATTGAGTTAATTTCTGTGGCAACTTCATTTTTAGTTTCCATCCTTCTCTACTTCAGAGGCCTTTGACTTAAGCCAGGCTATGTAGGCTGAGGCAGAAGGGTTGCTGGAATCCAGAAGCTTTGAGGCCAATCTTGGCAACACAGTGAGACTCCATCTCAAAAATAAAATAAAAATAGCCCTTCAGCTAATCTCGAGTCACTGGTTCAGGAATTCTCTGAGTATGATGTCTTCCACATCATATTCTGGACCATTTGCCTACTTTTGACCTCTCTGTCTGCCCTCTTTCTTACCCACTCTTCCATCTCATGGATCTGCTCAGAACTCCCAGGCATCCACATCTGACCTAGACCTTTCTCTGACCTCTGGACCCTGTGTCTACCTGCTTCTTACCAGCCCTACTGGACAGCTAATAAGTTGCCATCTCTGAGCATGGTCTTGCTCTGCCTCTGCCTACAGCCTCCCACTGCAGGTTGCCAAGATCAAAGGCCTTGGGTTCTTACCTGAAACTTCTTTCTTTGGAGCCCTCAGCTCAGTCAATGAAAGCCTCATTCATTCTACCTTCAGAATAGTTCTACACTTGCTTCCTATTGCCTCCATATCTGGCTGGGACTTTATATAAGCTAGAATAACATGGCTCAGACCTGGTGGTGTACCCCAAGGTCTCTTCTTCATACAAAATGTTCCCTTTCTGATAACCCGGTGCCATGTGTGGATCTGCATGTAGCTCTTTCTTGCTTTCCGTACACTGACAGTCTTTGCAGGGGGGCAAGTCCCTTCCTCCCCATGGATCTCATTGCACCTTCTGCCACCACTCAAGCTCACTCCAGCCCAGCTGCTTTAGGCACATTCAGTGAGCCTCCAGCTGATGGCCTTTGACCTGGCTTTTCCCTTTTCTCCAGTACTTGTCCATGATGTCCCCATGTCTGACTTCCTCATGTCTCTGGGGTCTTGGCTTCAATCTCATCTTGGTGACACTTATCCTGATAACACTTCTACCTTCTCCCCGACAGCCCTATTTCCTGTCCTGCTGTGCTGTGCCTCTCTCAAGGTACACACCATCTCACCTAATACAAGTGTTGTGATTATTTTTAACTTCTTACTGATTTGCCATCACCCACTTACATTAAACCCAATGAGTGTTTAGCCTATCATGACTGCTCAGTAGACATCTGTATGAGTAGCTAAATGAAGGGTTGCATGCAGATGAACATACAGTCCATCCTGAGCATGTCCCATCAGTTAGACTGGGATTATTCATTCACTGTCTAGTATTCCTGGCTTACTTAAGAACTATTCTTTATTCATTTTCAAAGGAAAAAAAAAAACCACAAACACTGATGTTCTCTCCTTTTGGGAGCTTAGAATCAAGGATGGATTTGATTTGTTTACTTGGGTTTATGACTATTTGAATAACCATAATACATATTTAAACTGTATTTAAGATATAATTTGAACTTTGTTGTAACTTTAAAAAATTTAATGTGAATGTGTATTATCTGCCTAACTAAAGCCTGAAATGCACAATATTTATTACCATTTACATCTTACAGACAGTAGTATTAAAAAAAATACTCAAGGGGACTAGAGAGATAGCTCAGTGTATAAGAGCATGTTAATATCTGATAGAGGACCAGAGTCTGGTCCCGGCACCCACACCGGGTGTCTCCCAGCTACCTGTAACTCCAGCTTCAGGGGATCAGATGCCCTCTTCTGACCTCCACAGACCTGGCACTCATGTACATATACCCACACACAGACAGGCACAGATAATTACAAGTAAATTAAACCTTAGGGGAAAAAATACTCAAGCGTCTCACCCAACCCAAGAACTAAAATATAACATCATTCCGGGCTTTAAAGCACAGCTTTCTCAGGATGGCTGGCTCACATTTACAATCCCAGATAGGATCCCAGAACTGTTTTTGTTTTTTTGTTTTTGTTGGTGGATTTGGCCTTGAATTGACAGAGATCTGTCTATATCTGCCTCCCAAGTGCTGGGATCAAAGGTGTGCACCACTGCCGCCCGGGTTATCCCAGAACTTTGGGGTGTAGTCAAGTCAAAAGTTTGAGACCAACCTGGGCACTGTGGCAAGGCACCCCACCCCCAGCCCCAGCCCAAAAAGAAAACTAAAACCTATTTTGAAATGTTTTTCTTAAATCATGTCAGCAGGATTTAACACAAAGCCTGTACATGTGTGTAAAACAGCTGAGTTCTGTGTTGGAATTAGGATTTCTTTGTTTTTCAGGGGTTAGATTTGGGTGAGACATCTGTATTTCTCTCATTTGCTCCATAGAACAAGCTGCCTTTTTTGCTGGCATTTTTGCTTTCCTGTGGGTAGAGCTACCCATGACAGCAAAAAAAAAAACCAACTTCATTTTGCTACTGAAAGCGCTGCTGTTGTCCAGCTATGGGAAGCTCCTGCTAATCCCAGCTGTCATCTGGGAACATGACTACACACCTTTGTGCCTCAGGCTCATTAAAGTATTTGTCCTGACATCGAATTTCCAAGCAATCAGAGGTGAGTGTATGCTTTTTATTTGACATGACAGCTTCCAGCCTTTATGGAAGGCTGAAGTCCTGGCCCTGGAGCATCAGATTTGTTGAACATGAGCTCTCCAGAGAGCCATGTTGGCCTTAAGTGTGTGTACAGAGCCCTACACACAGCAGACACTGAGGATCACTCAGTTCAGCCATATGGTGTTGCTTGTCTTCAGAGCACATTCATCCATACCATCTCTCCTTTATGAATGGCTTTAAAGTGCTGTGATGAGTAAATGGCTTTTCCAGAGTTACAAGACTGAGTAGTTGTCTAGCCAAGAGAAAGTGCCAGGTGCCGCCTCCCACATGAAGACAGTTCCTGCCTGCCAGATGAGTCTTCACTTTTTAGGCACTATGAAAAAGCACTTTGTGAATGAAGTTGCTGCCTGGACTTCTTGTCACAATGCTGCTCTTCCTGATCTGTGATGCTACAAGTACAACTTCCTTTCTGTTAGTCTCTTTAAATCTTCAAGTTGGATGGTGGTGGTTATTTTGAAACAGTCTCCCTATGTAGACCAGGCTGCCCTGAAACTCATTGCAGTCCATCTATAGGAACCTTCCAAGTGCTGGAATTAGATAGGAGCCACCACACCCTGCTTTATTTTCTCTTTATTATTCATGGGCTTCTGCCTCTGCTTGAGAAGAACTTGATGCTTGTGTTAGAAGCAGAGACTTTGTTATAGGACATGTAGAGCAGGGTGAGTGTCCTCAAATCAGCTTCATGCAGCAGTGTTGGGGAATATTATTTTAAGGTGTGTTACTTTTGTTAATGTATTTGTTTAACTGTGAAGCTGTGTTACTGTGCCTGACTAAAATACCTGGTGATCTAATAAAAATCTGGATGGCCAATAGCGAGGCAGGAGAGAGAAATAGGGGGGCTGGTGGGCAAAAAGAATAAATAGAAATCTGGGGAAAAGATCTGGCAATGAGAGAGGAAGGAGGAGGACATCAGGGACTGGCCATCCATCCACCAACTACACAGCCAGACACAGAGCAAGAAGGAAAGAAAATGTATATAAGAATAGAGAAAGATAAAAGCCTTGAGGCCAAAAATAGATGGGATAATTTAAGTAAAAAAAAAAAAAAAAAGCTGGCAAGAAGCCAGGCATTGGTAGCACATGCCTTTAATCCCAGCACTTGGGAGGCAGAGGCAGGTGGATCTCTGTAAGTTTGAGACCACCCTGGTCTACAAGAGCTAGTTCCAGGACAGCCTCCAAAGCCACAGAGAAACTCTGTCTCATAAAAACCAAAATAAATAAATAAATAAGCTGGCAAGAAACAAGCCAAGCTAAGGCCAGGCACCCATAACTAAGAACAAGATTCTGTGTGTGATTTATTTGGGAGCTGGGTGGCAGGTCCTCCAAAAAGTCTGTCCAAAAAGCCAAAAGAGTAAAATATCACGCAACACAGGAATTTCCAGTTCTCAGCACCATGCAGCACACAGGCACTGCTGTCATGTCTTAGGAATTCCTAGGACATCTTGCTCCCTTTGTTTTCTAGTGACTCTGAACACCAACCGCAGACTCTCCCTGCTGGCTGTGCTGAGTGGCTTGTTGCTGGAGAGCATCATGGTCTACTTCTTCCAGAGGATGGAGTGGGATGTGGGCAGTGACTGCACACTCTACAAATCTCAGGACTTCTGAAGGTATTGGAAATATCTAGTCTGTCTTGAAATAACTTTTCCTGGGAAACATGAATAATGTCATCTTCTTATTCCATATGAGGCAACAACAACAAGCCAAAGAAATGGTTCCACCCATGTCTAGTCCCGTGAATTGGGATTCCTGACAGGAACATGGCAATTTGCTTAAGCAGCTATATCACGAAGGAGAATCTCCTCAGCATCTATTCACTGTTGATGTATCCTGGGGAGGGATAGGGCCTGGTGAACCTCTCCCCATTACTGAATGTTAATAGGCCTATCTCAATATGAGTAATCAGATGCTGAGAGTTGAGGACAGTGTCAGTGTCGTGCCTAGAGGTCAGCATTCCATGAAAATCCATCAAACATGGTCCTCTTCCGATTCCAGGGTTGTGTGACTGAGGTGGTGCCGCACATGGCCTCTCCCCTCGCATCCCTCTGCTTCAGGCCTTCTGTCTTCCAGGAGGACTGGGGTCCTGGGCTCCTTGTGTCCTTCCCTTGCCTCCTATCACTTCTCCCCAGCTGTCCTCACAGTCTAGCCCTCACTGGCCCTTGCTGGGCTTACAGGATCCGACTCCATCCATCCACTGATAGCTGGCTGCTGCCTTTTCCAGTTTCTCCTCTCCTTCCCTCTTAACCCCTGTCTCCCTGTCTCTTCCCCTCCAGATTCCAAGCCTTCTACTTCTGACTTGTCCTGCATCTCTCAACCACACATGAACCCTGAAGGAAGCTGCTGAGTGGTTCTATGTCAGGCCCTCAAAATACTTATGCTTCCTGCCTTCCACCGTGCCTGTCGAGCCCTGTGTCTGCACAAGGTTCAGTTCTTGAGTGGGTAGTCTCTACTGCTCATGTGATCTCAGCAGGACTCGGTGACCTGTGAGTGAGAACGCTCCTGTCTATGGATCTGAACCCTCCCGGCTTCTCCTCAGCCAGCCTCCCTGTGTTGAGATTGCAGTGGCTGTAGGTTCCTTCAGTTTGTTCTTCATTGGAAAGCCCTCTTCTGTCATCCATGCTATTCCTTCATTCTCTTGTTTGTTTGGGACTGTTTGTGCTTTGAACCCCATCTTCCTTCTGCTGCTGCTAGGCCTGTCCTCCCTCATCGTGTGCGTCTGTATACAGCTCTACTTTGGACATTTTGTCTGAGCTACTGCTTTCCTGCCTTGCCCTTTGTGAACAGCCCTTTCCACGCCCTGGTCCACAGTCCTAAACATCACAGGGGCTACTCTATCTATGTACTTCATGGTCTGCTTCTCAGACCTGCTTCCCGGCTGGTGCTGGAATTCCAGCCCCCCTCCCTTCCTCCCTCGCTCCCTCCCTTCCTTCCTTCATTCCTTCATGTGAAGGGATGGGCCTACTCCTCCCAGATCCCTCTCCTCTGTCCAGTGCTAGATCCTGTTCCATGCCTGATACTCGGTGAAGATTAGTGTGATCCTCCATCCCGTGTGCCCACACTCCAGCCACTACTGGTTTTACATTGTTCTACAGAGTGCCACATCTACTCCTGAGAGGAGAAACCTCTCCGCACTCCATCCTGGCTCTTCTCAGTTGGCACCTCACAGCAGCTGCCTTCCAGATTTCACCCTCGGTCACCCAGGGCTGTGTGTTTCCTCAGTGCCTCTCTGTATCTGGCTGTCTGCTATAATTTATAGGCAGGAAAGTCAGCTTGCGAGTCTTCAGAACCCACTACAGAGCTGGTGGCCTGTTTTGTTATCTTGTACTTTGTTCTGTCTTCTCCTTGAAATTACACCAGGAGAGCCCCTACCTCAGACTCCCCTGTGTCCTCCATAGTGATCAGAACAGGCCTTTCAAAGTCTTCCTCTGTTGTCTGCAGCTTTATTCTTCACTCTCTGTGGCAGGACCAGCTACCACAAAAGAGAAGGCACAAAAGAAAGCAGAGTCCCTGCTTTGTGTGAGTGAAGTCAAGACTGGGAATTCCTGAACCCACCCAGACACCCCTAGGAAGATCTGAGCCACCCAGACACAAGGCTAAGAGCACTACAGTGACACACGGGCAGACACCGTGGTTCCATCAAGTGGATTCCTTTGGTGTATTTATATCCTTTAAATATTACATTGCTGGCTTAAAAATCTTATTTTGTGTTTTTCTAACAGAAGCACTTTACTCTTAAGTAGTCTTTTGGAATAAATAAACTTTTTATACATTTCTGATTCAGTAATTATGGTCATCTTTTGAGTTGCCTGAGCCAGAAATAACCAATTATCTTAGGTATCTTTCTAATGGTGTGATAAAACACCATGACTAGGGTACTTTATACAGGAAAGTGTTTAATTTGATTTATGGTTTCAGAGGGTTAGAGTCCATGATGGCAGAGAGAAGGAACAGCTGAGAACTTATATCTTGATCCATAAGCAGGAGGCACAGTGAACACTGGGAATCACAGGAGTCTTTGGAAACCTCAAAGCCCACCCACCAGTGACACACCCTCCTCCAACAAGGGCACACCTCTGAATTCTTCACAAACAGTTCAACCAACTGGGAACTGGGTATTCAAATATATGGGCCTATTGCATGGTGGAGCACACCTTTAATCCCAGCACTCAGGAGGCAGAAGCAAGTGGATCTCTGTGAGTTCAAGACAATCTTGATCTTCAAAGTGAGTTTCAGGACAGTCAGAATTGTTACATAAAGAAACCCTGTCTCAGAAAACTGATAGATAGATAGATAGATAGATAGATAGATAGATAGATAGATAGATAGATAGATAGATTGAGGGAACCATTCTCATTCCAACCACCAAAATCTACACTGCTGTAGAGACAAGTGCTGTGTGCACTTTCTGGTTTATAACTGGCCAGCATCACTCTAGTCTCCATCCAATCAAGTGTCCCTCTACTCTCCTTAAGAGGTACCACTAGTGGCATTACCCACCTAGATAATACAGAGTAGTTCCATTTCAAGGTTATTTATTAATCAGCTCTATAAAGGCCCTCTCCACACATGCTTCAGATACACACTCCTGGGGTTCTACCTTTAGACAACTTTGAGAAGCTGTTTCCCACCTGCTGCAAACTCCCAGGTGACTAGCTGTATCCATCAACACGTCATCAGTGCTCTCTGCCAAAGTGAACAGGGCTCTCGCCAGTGGGTGTAAGGGCAATGCAAGAAGCTCTAATACTCAGCCAGTGAGCCTCGAGGCTGGCAGTGTGGGGTGTACTCCATTCTGACCAAGGGGCAGATACAAGTCTTAAAACCTCACATTTGGATGGCTGATGCAGGAGGAACCATGAGTCTAAAACTAGCCTGGGCAACACAATGAGTGAGACCTTGCTGAAAATCCCAAACAAGAAAGCAAGTGGAAAGGGTTCCACTGCAACTGTCCCTGCACTTCCCAGAAGTCACCTTGTGAGGACACACTTGGCAGGAAACAAGCAAGCTCCTGCTCTGCCTCTTTCTCTTCTCCCTCCCTCCCTCCCCCCTCTGCTTTGATTGGAATCAAGGTCAGAGCTGCCTTATGCGCCCTAAAACAAACAAGATACCTAGTCTTCCCCACAATGTGGCCATTTCCCAAAGTGGCTTCGTTTTGCCTGCCCTGCCTTTGTCCTGACTTGTCAACCCACTTTAAAAAACAAATAAAATGCATTAAAAGCAATTTTATTGTCATGTGAATTTTTATAAGGCAGATGTAGGTGGTTGTAGGTAATCCCAGGTTGTTTACAATAGAGGTGCATGGTGGGATGTGCCTTTACTGACCTGTGCCTCCCATCTGCTAGCGGGCTCAGGCTCTCCAGCATCTAAGATCTAGATTTGTGGTGGGGCACTGCTGCTTGAGCTCTTCCCAAAGCTCTCCAAGAGACCTTAATGCAGTGAAGGCTGAAAGCAGCCAACCTAGGGTTTATCTCATAGCTAAGCAGGACTTAGCCTCAAAATAGGGCCATGCAGGTGACTAGATTTTCTGTTTCCAATTTCTTGTCCTGCCTGAACATCCTGCCACGGATTGGTGGCAGCTCACTGACCCCTCTGATGAGGAAGATTACCATACACAGTATAGGGATGTTGTATGTTATTTTATTAGGGAGAAATCACTTACGTGAGAAGCTGAGAACTGAGGTCAGCGCTCTGCTGGTCTCTGACCTTGACCGGAACCCCAAGATAATGACCCCTCCTTCCTTAGCCTTTATCACCGCCTTCCCCCACATACCTGTGACCACGCCCAAGTGGGCGTGGTCAGCCAGTGCTGCGGGTACAGGAGACCTCTCCCTACACCCCCTCCCTTTGACTACTTCTAACAGAGATGCTGAGCAGGGACCCTGTCTTCCTGTCTAACCTAGTTCCTTATAGCACAGACAGGTTAATGCTTGTGTAATTGAATGCAATCTGTCCCGGTTGGCTCTGCTGCTGTGGTAAAACACTGACCAAAAACAACTTGGGAGAGGAAAGGGTTTATTTCTTCTTACATTTGGTGGTCCATCATCGGGAAGCAGACCCTGGGAGAAGACTGCTTACCGGCTTGACCCAGCTAACTTAACTACATGCCTGCCTCACACTGTTCAGGAGCACCCGCCCAGAGTGGCACCCCTCACAGTAGCTGGACCCTCCCACAACCACCATCAAGAAGCACCCCAGATATGCCTACAGGCCAGTCCGATGGAGAAAACTCAACTGGCATTCCCTCTTCCAAGATGACTCAAGCTTGTGTCAACAAACTAACCAGCACACTGTCCCCCAGGGCCCAACAGCAGCAGCTGCAACACCAATTCCTGAAGATGAGGCCTGTTGCCAGTCCCTCACAGGAGGGGTCTAGCAGTCCTCCCAAGACTCCTTTCTATAAAGCCCTCCCAGCTACCTGGAATTCTGCCCCAGCAGCATCTGGTCCCCTGGTCTGGTCTTGGAGGTGAGAGAGTGTATAGAATGTTAGAGGTTAGCTGTGGGGGTGGGGGAATAGAGGACCTTTCTCTGCACAGCTATGGGGAGGTCAGCCATCCTGGAGAGGGACTTTTCAGTGATGTGGCTGTTTGGGTATCATTCACACTGAAGTAAGTAATAAGAATAAGCTTATTGGTTTGCCAGGCTGGACTTTTGTATAATCCTTACTTTGGTTTGTCACTGGTGCCCTGTTTGGGGTGAGTAGATACTTTAACTCCCCAGGAAAAGTTTACGCAATTGTTAAATTGTACTTTCCTTTGCTTGCCTCAAGAGGGCACTTATGAGCAGACTTCACACTAAAAGAGGACCAAAGAACTTGGTTATTCACAAAGGAACTAGGTAAAATCTTGGTGTAAATATGGCCTGGTAACAATGAAATGACTGTCCAAGCTTAAGAAAGAAATAAACCAATTTTGTTTGTTTTGCTATGTTTTTGTTTTTCAAGGAAGGGTTTGTAGTTTTGGAGCCTATCTTGGAACTCACTTTTGTAGACCAGGCTGACCTCAAACTCAGAGATCTGCCTGTCTCTGCCTCCCAAATCCTGGGATTAAAGGCATTCGCCACCACTTCGTGGCATAAATATGTCTACTAAAATTCATTTAATAGCCAAAAAAGTCCTGAATTCCTTTCAGTGTGTGTTATATTGAGCCACATGCAGGTTGTGAATAAATCTGAACTCAGAATATAATTTTTGTTTTGTTTGAGAAAGGAGGCATATGGCTCTCTGTGAGTTCAAGACTAGCCTGGTCTACAAGAGCTAGTTCCAGGACAACAGCCTCCAAAGACACAGAGAAACCCTGTCTCAAAAAAAAAAAAAAAACAAAACAAAACAAAAAAAAGAGGGGGGGGATAGCGGAGAATAGCCCTAAACTCTCTGTGTAGTCAAGGAAGACCTTGAACTTCTGATCCCCCTGCCTTTACCTCAGTCCAGGGATTACAGGCATACACCATCATGCCCACTTGACTTATATACTAAGGTCAAATCCCGGCTTCATACATGCTAGGGACTCACCAAACCCCCAAACAAAATGACACATGGCAAGAGACAGTGGAGCATTTTATACATGTTTAACCTATATTGTGAAGTTCTCACATATAAAGTGTTTTAATAAAGATATTAAGGCTTCAGGTAATTACTGTTTGAAAGGATTGCTTTCTTTTTTCTGAGACAGGGTTTCTCTGTATTGTTTTATAGGCTGTCCTGAAACTCGCTCTACAGACCAGGCTGGCTTCGAACTCACAGAGATCCACCTGCCTCTGCCTCCCGAGTGCTGAGATTAAAGGCGTGCGCCACCAATGCCCGGCGCTTCTAACACTGAAGTCTACTGAGTCTGTAACCATAAATAGTCACCATCTTATGATGAGTGATACAAATATTAGCTGGTCCCAGGTTTGTTTGGGTTTTTTCTCGCTATTCAATGTATATTCATTCATGCTTTTTCTCTCTGCCTATGCCTGATGTCAATTTTGGTAGTTGCTGAAAAGTGGTAGACCAGTGTGGCAGAATACTTCCTCCCCCTAGAAACTCATGAGTCAGTGATGCAACTTTCAAATAAATATGAGTGAAGAGGCTAACAGCTTAGTAACAGCGTGAAAAGACTCAGGCTGCCTTGGGGACTCTGGGCAGGGAAATGGTGGTTTTCATATTTCATATGCCAGTGTGGCATTCCTATACCATAGAGGGTGTAACATGCTTGCCACCTACAAAGAAGCTGGCTGAGAGCAACCTCACCCAAAGTACCCGTGAAGGCTTTCCAGGTGGAACTTTGTCAGTTTCCAGCAGGTGCTACTAAAGTTGTCAAGGATATTCTAACATGCCTGGGAAGACCCTGCAGCCAACTAAGCAGGCTGTCCCACATGTTAACAAACTCCATACCCACAAGATAAACTACTGGCACATGTCCCCATGTGCCCGTAGACTGTCCACCACGAAGAGGCAGATGGACTTTCTTGCAAGAGAGAAACAGGTGCTGCCAATCTGTGTCGGTGGACTCCAGGGGTGCTAGATAGACTCCAGAATCCAGTCACTGCTGGAGAGGTGAGTAACAGGCAGTGTCAAGTCCCGGGGAGGGCCTCGGCCCTGGCCTTCTTGGAGGGAGCCCTGTTCTTGGAAGTCATCCTCATCATCGAAGAAGCCATTCTCCAGGGCGTAGGTGCAATCCAGGCTGGAGGCTGCCTGGCATGCTCCCTTGTACTCCTGAATGGACTCATAGAGGCTGTACAGTTGGCAGAGCAAGGACATGTCCAGCTGTCGGAGGCCAACCTTGAGGGAAGGGAAGGGAGGTAAAAACCAAGTCAGTTCTAGAATTTAATTTTAGTTGAACACCCAACTAGAAATCTGCCCAGGCTAGCACATTCCTTCCCCCAGGAAGGCTTAAGGCAGCATCAATGGGATGCTGTGGAATTCCAATCCAGGTAGACGCATACTTCCACTGTGTCATGCCATACCTCAGAGCTGAGTGGGTGAGTCCATACCTGGGGCGTGGACTGAATTTGCTCTGGTGCTCCAGACACACCCAGTGAAGCAACAGTAGTGCATGTTCTGCGCTCCTCAGCTGGTTTCATTGTGGATGTCAGGTTCCAGAAGCATTACTGCTCCACACAACCACACTCCGAGAAGACCCACACATGCCTTCCTTGCAATCTTGGCAAGATCCCACATTCTGTTGTTTTCAGGCAGTACATTACCACTGGCCAAGGACAGGATCTCACTGGTCAGTGTGACATGCTATCCCCTGTAGCAACCCCATCTGTCCCAGGGTTTTCCAGGCACAGTAGAGTTCAGATGTTCTTTCTTCTAGACCAAGCTACTATGATCCCTCCCCCAAGCCAATGAACTATGAAGAAACAAGTGGCAGGGGACAAGAAATATGTGGGAATGTCATGCATTCGTTGTTCATCTTCACTTCCTCTCTTCTGCCTGTCCTATGACAAGCAGCAGCTAGGTCCAGAAAAGCATGGGTTCCATCGAGCCTAAGCCCAGGAAGAGGATGAACTGCAGGGAGCCTACAGACCGGAACCTTTAACAGGCAAGAACTATGTGGGAGTTTGAAAGGCAGGTATGGACTCAAGCACTCACCTGCTTCCTGCACAGCGGCCACTTGTGTCAGACAAGATAAAAGCTACCACCAAGGCCGGGCATTGGTGGTGCACGCCTTTAATCCCAGCACTAGGGAGGCAGAGGCAAGTGGATCTCTGAGTTTGAGGCCAGCCTGGTCTACAAAGTTACAAAGTGAGTTCCAGGATAGCCTCCAAGACAATACAGAGAAACCCTGTCTCGAAAAACCAAAAAAAAAAAAAAAAGAAAAAAAGAAAAAAAAAAAAGCTACCACCAAAGTGGCCCAGGGAAAGAGAAAGGCTCCAGTGGGACCAGTCTTGCAATGCTAACCTCAGGCTCAAGGAGGGCAGCTCACCAATGCTATCTATGGGATTTCAATCAGATGTAACCTTGTTACATAAAGTCATAGCCTCTCAGGTGTCTTCCTGCAGAGCCCTCAACACTAGGAGTAACCTAGGGGAAGTCCTTCTATGTATGTTTGACTGATGTTTGCACTGTTGGCCAATAGGGAAGCAAGATAGGTGGGACTAGGAGTCTAGGAGGATTCTAGGAAATGTAGTGAAGAGAGGGTCGTCACGATGTGATCCCTGAAGGAGAGAACGCAAGTCTGGCGTTCTCGGAAAGATAAGTCCTTATAAAATATATATTGGTGATTATGGGTTAAATACTAAGTCAGAGCTAGCTGATAAGAAACCATAGCAAACAGCCAACAGCTTCATAATTAATACAGTGACTCGTGTGTTATTTTGGGGCTAAACCAGCAATGAGACCCAGGTGGAAATTCCACAACACCACCCCTCATGCAAACAGGCCTAATGTCATCTTTCCTAACCACACTTTAGGCATCTGGAGGCATACACCATATCATATAGCCTAAAAAGAGCAAACAGTTAATTCACGCATGGTAGGCATGGTTGACATCCTAGCACTTGGGAAGCTGAGGCAGGAGGATTGTGAATTTGAGACCAGCCTGAGCTACACAGTGATAGCTTCAGAAGACAAAACAGCCTGTTGGCTGTTTTCATTGGGATGTCCTTTCTCTAAATTCTGCATGGCTCCTATAGTCCAAGATTCTATTGCTCAAGGTTCTGACTAAGTCGGTCAAATATGCCAGTCTCCTCCCAGATTTAACTTTGATAAAGCCACACCTTCCAAGGCTCATACCTGTGTTTGCTTAAAATATCTAAGAGGCTCATGTGACACATGTCTCCCACCTAGTCACTGCTTCACCATCAAGTGAAAGACACTAAGGAGCTACTTCTCATGTCAAGAACAGACCACAGAAAGACCGAAGGAGCTCTGAGCAGATGGCAGTGTTCACCTTCTGGGGGCCACAGGGTCAGCCCATGGGAGACAAAAGCCTCAGCTCCCTGGCTCTTAAACTCTGTTGGATGACAAGGTCATGATCCCATGTCACCCAAGACTCATGGTGCCAGGTTTTTCCTAATGAAGTCTTCCTGGATACCCAAGGACATGCCTAGCACAAGGTGGTAAGTGAGGAATCTGAATGGACCGGACCTCCCTGCACTGGTACACAGTGATGATTCACAGAGCTGCCCTGTCATGGGGTGTGACAGCGGCCTAGAAACGACTGAGCCACCTCGAGATACAGCATGGTCCTGACACACCTGATACACAGCTGAACTCGTACATGCCCGGTGCAGAGACAGATTTCACCTAAACAGTAGCATGTGATCACACCTGCCTCAGCTCTGCATAGCAACTGCTCCGGATACCAGACTTCCTTCCATTAGACAGAATTTCCCTTAAGTACAGGAGGTGAGTGACACTGACATTCTAGTCACGATAGGTGGTCTTCAGCAAGCTGGGTCTGGATGACTGAATGAATACAAAGATTTGCCCTGGTTTAGGGTTTAGGATCATATTAGAGTGGCCCGGAGACCACGGCTGGACAGGCAGTGCTGTGTGCTCACAGGAAAACAATGGGCCAGCCCAGAATCCTCCAAAAGGCTCTTGGCTAAGAGGTCTGGATAGGGACAAGGAGGGGAGCATGCCCCAGGACTGAACTACAGGACACAATCATGTCACCCACGAGCAAGAGCAGCTTGCCCTTCTAGAAAAAAAAGTGTTAACCTATAAGCCATCTTTTAACCCACTCACATGTCCCTGAAGGATTTAGAAATGACAGCTTTCTTCAGGAGGCATTTTGAAAACTTTAGGCTCATCTTAACAAATCAGTCACCTCAGACCTGTGATCTCCCCTTCTTTATGGTGACTTACAAGACATGAGAAGGGCTAGCTCAGTCACTGCAAGCTGCTTGCCCTTCCCTCCTCTGCTCAGGCTGCCGGCTTCCTGTCTGCCATTGTCTCTCCTCAGCCTCCTGCTGCCAGGTGGGCCCAGCACATCCTTCCCACCAGAGTCTGTTTCCTGTCACTAGGGCAGCGGTTCTCAACCTGTGGGTCTTGACCCCCTTGGGGGTTGCATATCAGATAATTACAGTTATGAAGTAGCAAAAATACATAATTTTATGGTTGTAGAATCACCACAATATGAGGAACTGTACTAAAGGGTTTCAGCATTAAGAAGGTTGAAAAACACCATCCTAGGCTCAGTTTCAGAATAGTCTTGGACAGGGTGGTGACTCTGCTGTGTTGAGGGTTCCTAAAGTCCCAGAAACTCACTGAGGTGGTGGTGGAGGAGGGATTCATCACTAGGTGGCTGGGCTTAGAGGCCTAGAAGCTTTTCCTTCTTTAGACCAGTTCTCATGGAGTCCTGGCTGGCCTCAACTCACTTTAAGAGTGAAGATGACTTTGAACTCCCGATCCTGCTGTTTCTGCCTCCCAAGTGCTGGGTTAAGAGATGCTCACCACCATCTGCTCAGGAGACTTTAAAGGAACCTTTTGGGGCTAGGGAGATGGCTCAGTGCCATGAGAAAATGATGACCTTACTTTGGATCCTCAAAACCCACACTTAAAAAGTCAGGCATAGCCAGGTGTGGTGGTGTACAGCTTTAATCCCAGCACCCAAGAGGCTGAGGCAGGTTGATATCTGTGAGTTCAAGGCCAGCCTGGTTTACATAGTGAGTTCCAGTACAGCCAGAGCTACATACCGAAACCCTGTCTCAAAAAAAGAAAGAAGCCAGGCATAGGTGGCGCACGCCTTTAATCCCAGCACTTGGGAGGCAGAGGCAGGCGGATCTCTGTGAGTTCGAGGCCAGCCTGGTCTACAAAGTGAGTTCCAGGACAGCCTCCAAAGCCACAGAGAAACCCTGTCTCGAAAAACCAAAAAAAACAAACAAACAAACAAACAAACAAAAAAACAAAAAAAAAGAAAGAAAGAAAAGAAGGAAGGAAGGAAGAAAGGGAGGGAGGGAAGAGGGAGGGAGGGAGAGGCTAGAGATGGATCAGTGGCTAGAGCACTCACAAGAATTTTACAAACCAGAGCTTAGTTCTCAGCATCCACAGTTGTGGGTTGGTGACCACAACTGCCTACAATTCCAGCACTAGGGTATCTGAGACCTCTAACCACCAAAGGCACCCACACACATGAAGGCACTCAAACATACACATCACATTAATAATTTCTTCTTAATTTTAAGCCAAGCCAAATGCAGCAGTTCACACCTATACTGTAGCCCAGTGCTGAGAACCTGCTGGAGTCCTTCTACCAAATCAGTGAGTCCCAGCTTCAGTAGGAGACCCTATGTCAAAAAACAGGGTGACCAGACGGTGGAGGTGACCCCTTTAATCTCAGCACTCGGAAGGCAGAGGCAAGCAAGGCTTATGAGTTCAAGGCCAGCCTGGTCTACAGAGCAAGTTCCAGGACAGGCTCCAAAACAGTACAGAGAAACCCTGTCTCAAAAAAAAAGGCAAGCCGGGCGTTGGTGGCGCACGCCTTTAATCCCAGCACTCGGGAGGCAGAGGCAGGTGGATCTCTGTGAGTTCGAGACCAGCCTGGACTACCAAGTTGAGTTCCAGGACAGCCTCCAAAGCCACAGAGAAACCCTGTCTCAAAAAACCAAAAAAAAAAAAAAAAAAAAAAGGCAAAAATCCCAAACAAACAAACAACCCCAAAAAACAGAGTGGAGAGCACTAGAGGAAGACACCTGACACCAGCCTTTAGCCTCTGGTCTCCACATAGGAGCATGCTCTCTCTCTCTCTCTCTCTCTCTCTCTCTCTCTCTCTCTCTCTCTCTCTCTCTCTCTCTCTCTCTCTCTCTCTCTCTCTCTCCCTCTCCCCCTCT